GTACACCAGCTCGGCTGACGTCGCCTGCAGGTCCGCCTTGATGGTGGAGCGTATGCCCAGGAGCACCAGCGGCAGCACGTCCGTCCATGACGTAGCCTGGTGTGCACGGAGGCTGGCCTTCAGCTGGCGATGCAGGCGTTCCACCATACCGTTGCAGGCCGGGTGGTAGGACGTCGTCCGAGTTCGCTGGCAGCCCAGGAATCGCTGTAGCTCCGACCAGAGGGCCGACTCGAACTGGGCGCCTCGGTCCGTCGTGATGATGGACGGAACGCCGAATCGGGCGACCCAGTGCTCGAGGAAGGCGCGGGCGACCGTGGTGGTGCGGATGTCCGGCAGAGGGATGGCTTCTGGCCACCGAGTGAACCGGTCGACGCACGTCAGGAGGTACGAGTGCCCTCTTGACGGCGGCATCGGGCCGACGAGGTCCACGTGGACGTGGTCGAAGCGTTGCTGAGGTGGCTGGAAGGTGCCGACGTCAGACTTGGTGTGCCGGCCGATTTTGCAGCGCTGACAGGCGAGGCAGGTTCGGGTCCAGCGGCGCACGTCGCGATCCATACCGGGCCAGACGAACCGCTTAGAGATGAGCTTGACGGTGGCCTCGACGCCAGGGTGCGACAGGTCGTGCAGAGCCTTGGCGAAGGGCCGGCGCAGCGCCTCTGGGAGGACCGGCCGAGGCGATCCGGTGGACTCGTCGCAGAGCAGACGGAGTCCATCGCCGACCGGGATGTGGCGCAGGCGCAGTGAGGTGTCTGAGGTCTCGAGGTCTTCCAGCGAGCCGTCTTCAGACTGGGCCTTGGCGATGGCAGTGAAGTCGGCGAGCTGGGGTCGCGGCTGGGCCACCATCGAGACCGTGCGTGACAGCGTGTCGGCGACCACGTTGTCCTTGCCAGGTACATGGCGGATGTCAGACACGAACTGGCCGATGTAGTCCAGGTGGCGGACCTCTCGTGGCGAGTAGCGGTCGGACGAGGAGCCGATGGCCGTTACCAGTGGTCGGTGGTCTGTGAAAATGATTGTTGACCGTCCTTCGATGGCGTGCTTGAAGTGCCGGACGGCCAGGTAGATAGCGAGCAGCTCGCGCCCGAACGTGCTGTATTTCTTCTCCGCAGGTTGGAGCGTTTTCGAGAAGAAAGCGAGGGGCTGCCACTCGCCGGCGACGTGCTGCTGGAGGACGGCGCCCACTCCGCAGTCCGAGGCGTCGACGAAGAGGGCGAGCGGCGCGTCCGGGACTTGGTGTGCGAGATGTGTCGCCGTGGCCAGGGCGTCCTTGACGTTCTTGAAACGCTGCCGCGCCGAGTCTGTCCACGTGACAGGCGCTCTCGAGCGTTTTGCCTTGTGGGTGATTAAGGCGTGCAGAGGCTGCAGGAGCTCGGCTGCCTGGGGGATGAAGCGGTGGTAGTAGGCTACCATCCCCAGGAACCTCCGTAGCTGGGACTGAGTGGTCGGTTCCGGGAAGTCTTTGATGGCCTCGACTCGTCCAGGCAGCGGGCGGACGCCGTCGGCGTCTACCGAGTGGCCGAGGAACACCACCTGCTCCTGTCCCAGGACGCACTTGTGCCTGTTGACGACGACGCCGTAGGTGTTGAGGCGCTGAAGCACTTGGTCCAGGAGCTGTAGGTGGTGTTCGGCAGTCGGGCTGGCCAGCAGAATGTCGTCCAGGTAGACGAAGCAGCCCGGTATGCCACGGAGGACCTCATCCATGAAACGCTGGAAGGTCTGTCCGGCGTTTCTGAGGCCGAACGGCATCCGAACGCATTCGTAGAGGCCGAACGGTGTCGTGATGGCTGTCTTGGGGACGTCGGCAGGTTCCACCGGGATCTGGTGGTAAGCCTTCACCAAGTCAATGGTGCTGAAGACGGTGCACCCATGCAGGTCGGCTGAAAAGTCCCGCAGGTACGGCAGCGGGTAGCGGTCTGGTACGGTGCGGGCGTTCAGCGCTCTGTAGTCGCCGCAAGGGCGCCACTCGCCGGGTCTCTTCTTTGGCACCATGTGGAGTGGAGTTGTCCAGCTGCTGCTCGACGGTCGAATGATGCCTTGCTGGAGCATCTTGTTGAACTCAGCACGTGCGATTTGAAGGCGCTCCGGCGGGAGGCGTCGTGGCCGCTGGTACACCGGTGGACCCTTGGTGACGATGTGGTGCGTCACGTTGTGCTTCACCGGTGTTGGTCCAGGTTTTGGTGAGGTCACATCCGGGTACCGGGCGAGGACAGCTGCGAAGCGAGCAGCAGCCTGCTCCCGGACGAGACGCACTCCGATGGAGCACAGCCGTGACCGCTCGGCGCTGGCGCAGACGGTGCCGTCCCGCAGGAGACGCTGGTTGGCAACGTCCACGACGAGGTGATGTGCGGCCAGGAAGTCGGTGCCCAAGATGGGTGTGGTGACGTCAGTGACGAAGAATCGATGTTTCAGGCGGTGCTGCTGACTCAAGGTGACGTCCAGCAGGCAGGTGCCGTGCACCGCGATCGGTGAGCCGTTTGCCGCGACGAGCTGCTGGCCGACAGGAGCAGGGGTCAGTGTGGACCCGTTGGGCAGGCAGCGGCGAGGCAGCACGCTGACCTGCGCCCCGGTGTCGACTAGAAATTGCCGGTCCGTCTCCGTGTCCCTCACGAAGAGGAGTGGCGCGGCAGGAGGGGCGCCCGTGCTTTGCGCCATCAGCACGGGGCGCCTCAGTTTTCCGAGGCGATCCAGGAGCACGGCAACTTGCATCGGCGCGCTTGGGCGCCGAATCGCTGGTGGTACCAACACAGCGTGTCGTCGTGCGGCGGCGTTGAAGGACGAGCCGGTGACGGGCGGCGAGACTGGCGAGACGCCTGGCGCGGCCGGGAACGGCTGCGGTCGCGTCGCACGGCGTCCTCGAGTCGTCGGTTGCTGGCCTCCAGGCGCTCCATCTTAGCGACCAGGGAGGCGATGACGGTGTCCAGCGCAGGGGTTGCAGCTGGCGCTGGGGCTGTCACTGCAGCAGCGATGGGCGGTGCCGGCTGTGTGTACGGCTGTGCCGCGATCGCTGATAGCCGTGGGTCCGGTCCGCTAGCTTCCAGGTACCGGTCGGCCGCTTCTGCCAGTGCGTCAAGCGTGCTGTCGGCTGGCAGGAGGGCGAGGGCAGCACGGACGGGCTGCGGTAGCCGTTGTTGAAATAGGGTACGGAAGAGCTCCGTATCAACCGGGGCGTCCCCGGCTGCGGCTAGCTCGTTGCGCATTGAGCGCAACAGCGCCGTCGGCTTCTGATCGCCGAGCTGCTGGCGGCCGAGCAGGGCTTGTAGTCGGTCGGCGCGTGACTGTGCCAGGCGGGCTTGGAGCGCTGCACACAGCACGTCAAAAGACCGAGATGACCGGATGACGTCCTTGACCTGGACGGCGATGTTGGCGGGGAGGTTTGCGACGAGGAGCTTAAACCTCAGCTCGTCGGAGTCGACCCCGCTGACGTCGAAAGCGCACTGCACCTGCAGTAGCCACAGGTCGGGCTCTTCCGGAGAGTATGGTGGTAGCCGGAAGCTAGCCATGGGCCGATGAGTTGACTCAGAGGCTGAAGCTGGAACGCTGGCTGGGTCTTGAGCTGCGGCGCCGGACTGTGCGCTGTCCGCGGGCATGACGAGAGGCTAAGGTCGAACAACGGAGATCACGTCGGGGTCACCAATTGTCGTACTGCGCTGTGGGTAGCGCGTGGCTGGATGGACGGTCTGTGACAACCTATTGATCTGTGGCTGATCTATTAGAGTGTCCGTCCGAGAGCCGTACGACGGCTGACAGAGCCTGGGGGTCGCGAACTGGTGTGGTAACCGTTACGCCCACCTGGGACGCCCGAGTCGGTACGGCACTTGCGGTGTCGTAACCGGATCGGCGGGAACCAGCAGAACGCTGTTGGACCGGCGGTGAAAGTCGGAACCGAGCACTCGCCCACCAGTGGGGCGTCTGGTCGAGCAGGTCTACCCGCTAAGGCAGCCTGAGCACGAACCAGTGGCAGGGTCCGATCAATGACCGTGGTCCGACCAGGGTGTCAGCGCAATGGCCAGTCAGAGGCGTCTTTAAGGGCGCGGAAGCCCACCTCGGTCGACTGTGGCCGGTGCAACCTAGTCAGGTCGTTTGTGTGAATCTCCGTGTTCTTCCCTCGCCTCAGAGTAGCCGCTCTTCTCCAAATGCCCGAGCCGTTTTCTATGTGTATTTGTCTTGTAGCGAACAGCAGAGTCGAGAAACGAATTGACAATGTCGCCGAAAGCCGCGGTCATATGCTGGCCGTCCCTAGTACTACCAATATGCCCGCAGGCGCGGCGAGAGACAAGCTCAACGTATGAGTCACCGTCCGGCTGCCGGGAGAGCCCCTACCGTGACCTTTGTTCACAGGCGTGACGTCACGACAATGGGCTCCTAAACGTACGGGCAGCGGCCGCCTCAGGGGTGCCGCCGTGACCTTTGCACGACACGTTCTATGGCGTATGGCACAGCGGTTACTAGGAAGGTTGAGGCCAGCGGCAGGCCGGTTTACAAATATCAAACAAACTTGACGCGCAATTGACAACAGGTAACAGATTGATTAATAAAGCGGTGACAATATAAATGAAAATGACAATATGAAATGACAAATCGCATAGATGACAAATCGCATAGATGATCCCTACAAAATGTTAGTGGAAATCCCGGCATTATCAGTACCTTATGGGGATAACCAACCCTGCCTTGTACGGTTGTGCCCCATGGCAAAGCTGCAATCTTTCACCCGGTGCAGGGGTTGAGCACCCCCAACCATTTTGAAAAATCGACACCCCTGCTAGCACGCCTTGCCTTTTTGAGGCTTCTTTGTAGCACGAAAGTATGAAATGCATCACTTTTACTAGCCGCACAAAATGCATCCAACTCACAGAAATGTGATTTCTTTTTCTGCAGGTGTTATTGACCAGAAAAGTAACAAGCAAAACTATATTAAAATGGTATAAAAAATATACGCGCAGTTTTTATTTAGTGCCGGCTTGCTCCTACTCAAAATGCTGAATCAGATGCGCAGATGTGACAATAGTAACGCGAGGTGAACACGGGCGAAACTGTTCAGTAATATTCAGTTGTGAGTGCGCAGCACTTTTAAGCCAATTGTTGCTAAGAAAATTTGGCTGTTTACCGGGTTGCTAGGCAACACAAAGCTGGCGCATTTCTTTACTCCCCTTCGAATACATTAGCCTATGAAGGAAGGGGTTTGCAAGATTGGATTTGTAATTGTTTGTATTTATATACAGTGCTTGTTTGTGTCGTTTGTGTGAGCTGCCGTTGTTCGCACGAGGTTTAGGGCTCCCTGGAAGTAATTTTTTTAAAAGTATCGCTTCTGCCGCTGAAACCTAACTTTCCTTTGGGAATTTAATAACCTGCAGAGCCTTTATATCAGTCCCAGGTAAGCAAGATATCAAGGTGTCTTATTACTGTACAGTAATAAGACTTTACTGATGCTATGCATGCTAAGACTTTACTGTAGTGTGGTTCTTGGTATGGTTTGATTTTTTTATCTCTGAGGACAGTAATGGTAAAATAAATTTTGACCATTTATTTTGAGTCAAATCAGATAGATCATAGAAGTAAGATTTGATTGATCAAATTATTGTGGTCTATGTGTGTGACCCAGTGCCCCCCCTTAATTGAAGGTGTTCTGCCACTTCTGTGGTTGAGCACAGTAGGTACTATTTAAGATGTGCACCGCTCCATGCAAACTCCACACCTCTCCACAGTCCATGGAGAATCTGCACCGCACCCCGCACTGGCTGAGTGCCTCTTTATCAAGATCTCGTTAAATTGGCATACTTTGAATCATGACCAACTAACTCAGCCTAACCCCCAGACTGCAAATTGTGGCAAGTGCATTAGGCGTATATGTATAATCTGACCAATTACAAAATTTTCCCTCATCGCTGCACTCTTCTTCACAGCACCATGGACGATCTCCACTCCGCAGGATTTTTTGCACACAGCTGTAGTTGACCCTGTCTCCGCTAGATGTCATTCCGTATGATACAGGGCCCGGCATAAGTTTTGTCCTCTACAAAAATTATCAGCTGCTATACCTTTGATGAGAGGCAGCATTTCTGTTCAGCATTCAGTATATTCCCCACGAACAGGGATTTACGCACGAACACAATTTGGCATGCTGGCAACCAGTTTGTGCAGCACAGGCGGCTTAACCCTCGCATGTGTAGGGGGGGTCGGATGGACCCCCCCATGATTTTTCGCGAATAACTCGCGTAAAAAGCGGCCAATCGCGACGAAACTTTCAGTACCTTCGCATTGATTAATTTTACACCTACCCTGAAAATTTCATGACCCTTACCCAAATGACCTTTGACTTGTGACCTCTTTTCCGAGACCACGTTTGGCCGGAATCGCGATTACGCGTATGTCGGCTCGCATTAGCCGCGCGTTTGCAAGCTTTTCGTGGTTTCAAACGTTCAAACATGTGATTTGATGTTGCTCCCATGCATTAGGGTGGGTGTCAAGGTCACCTGAAGGTCAGGTCAGGTCATTGACCTTTGGTGACCTCGGGTGACCTCGGTTCACTTTTTCGAGTTTTACACGTTTCTAGGCTAGTTTTTGGAGCTGAATTCGAATTTAGCAACCATTTGAACATTTACGAAGTAGTTTTGGTGCCTTCGTAACATGTTACGAAGCTGTCAGAGGCGGTTGACACGTACTACGAATACCCGTCACGACGCCTACCGGTTGACCTGACCTGACCTGACCTGACCCCGACCTGGTCTAAATGCTTAAAGACATTATTTGTGATAAAAACTTACACGATATTCGTGATCAGCACCCCGAAAAACCTCTTAGCAGCCACACTTAACGACTTTCTAATAGGTCCCGATTTTCCCGACTTTGGGTCATTGACCTGACCTGGAAGGTCAACCAATGACCTAGGACCTTAAAATTGGATATCATCGGCTTTCTCTCGTGACGGGCAACGCGCTCGTTTTTTTTTCGCGAAGCTCTAGCTCGATCAGGGGCCAAACCCCGCAGGGGGCTGACCGTGGTCGGAGCTGCTGCTTAGCCGGGGTCATCTGGCTCCGGCTGTGCGGCGGCTGTGACTTCGGCCAGTAAGGGGAGTAGCGCCCCCTCGGCCCCAGCTTGACGCGCGTTTGACCTGGACTTGCCTTGCTTACTGGATGGATTGTCTGCAGGATTGGCCCCGCAGGGGGTTGGCAGTGGCCCGGGTCGCTGTTGGTCTGGGTTCCTTGGGCCTTCGCCCCGCGGCGGCCCTGGCCTCGGCCAGCAAGGGGAGTAGCGCCCCCTCGGCCCCAGCTTGACCTGTGCTTGCTTACGACTTGCTTTGATCGCTGGATGGACAGATGGTACGGCCCGACTTTTCTTGGTTTTCGTGGTTTTGTTTCTCTTGAGCGGTCTTTGTTTGCTTTTGCTTTGCTTCTCACCGGATGTCCGCGTTTCGTTCGATCACAGCCTTCTGATTCCTTTCCTACCCCTTTTTCGTTGTTTTTGCACCCGCAGGAACACAGCCGAGTTGGGCTAGTGTAAGGGGAGTGGCGTCCCCTCGGGTACCAGCCGGTTTTACTAGGCTAGGCGAGCCGACCCGTACCCCAGGACAACGGGATCCTGGAGGTTGAGCCCCCCACCGTGCGGAGCCAGTCGCGGTGGCTGGGCAACACGCCTCTTTGGCCCTGAGTTCTGTAAGGGCGGAACACTCAGTGGGGCGCCGCACTTGAGGAGCCATTCCCAGTCGTGATGCCGCCGGGGGTGGTGTCGGAGAGGTGTCGCCGGCGGGGTTCGGGCACTTGTGCACGTCCTCCGTCGGTGGGGCTGATCTGTCGCTGCCCCTGGCGGTGACTCGGCTAGGCGTTAAGGGAGGAGGCGGTATCCGACCGTGGGGGGTGGTGAGCCTCTCTCTCCCCCTCGGAAGGTGCCGCCAAGTCACGTACAGTCAGCTCGGCCGTCCCAGGCCTTGTAGCGGCGCCGTTGCGGAGCGTCGGCGGCCGAGCTGGCGGAGACCAAGCACACTCGCATGGATAACTCGACCAACCCCCCTTCCCCCACTCTTACCAATCCTTCGGCTTCGGCCGACTCTCGCCCGCCGGCCTCGGCCGACGGGCGAACGCTGCACGATCCAAGACCAAAAAATCCAAAAATCCTGATCTTCCGGAGCGCCGACAGGGAGCTGAGCTCCTTGACGCCCTTCCAGCGGAAGGATGGCTGCGACCGGTTTGGTTCGATCGTTCGTTGTGACCGGATGCGTGATGGCGCGCTGGAGGTCGAATTCAGGAAAAGCGAGGAGGCGGCGAAAGCGTTGGACGCTACTCGCTTCGCATTCTCCGAGGGACGGGCATCCGGCCGGAGGCTCGTCTCCATCCCGCTTACAGTGGAGCCCCACCGCTCTAAGAACTTATCACGAGGGGTCATTAACTGTTTCGACCTGAGGGGAGTGAGCGACGAGGACATTGCGGACGGGCTCGCCGATTTCGGCGTGACAGCGGCTCGCCGCATCATGACGAAGAGAGGCACGGTCTCGACCAACAACATCATTCTGACGTTTGACTCGACTGACTTGCCGAGTGAGATTCGTGTGGGCTACGTGAAGGTTCGCGTGCGGCCTTTCGTCCCAGCGCCCATGCGCTGCTTCCGCTGCCACCGTTTCGGCCACACAAAGGACAACTGCCGAGGAAGACCCACGTGCTCCAAGTGTGCTTCGCAGGACCACACTGACGAAACCTGTGACTCGGAGACCCCCCGATGCGTCAACTGCGGAGAGGGGCAGACGCCGCACTCCGCGTATGATAGGTCTTGCCCTGCATACGTCAAGGAGAAAGAGATCATGACCATCAAGGCTACCAGAAATTTGTCTTTCAAAGAGGCCCGGGAGGTGTACAACCAGAGTCACCCGAAGACCTCGTATGCCCAGAAGGTGAGAGTCACAAACTCTACCGATGCCTCCCAGATGAGTGTAGCGCAGCTCGTGCAGCTTCTCAAACGATTCGGCCTCACCGTCGTAGCCACTGGTGACTCAGCGGACACCACGGCGCCTCGTGCGCCGCCGAGCAACACAGAGCAGGCTGCTCTAGAGTCAGTGTGGGGTCCACCCAGTCCCGCTCCAGCCGCGAACGGTGATGGAGACGGCTGGGCCGTCGTCCAGCGCCGACAGGGTGGTCGGCGCCCCCCGGCGCAGGGTAAGGCGCCACCCACCCCGCCCCGCCCCCGACCGCCCACGGCGGTGCAGGAGGCGCTGCGGCGGGGGGAGGAGGAGAGGAAGGCACGCGAGGCGAGGAGGGCTCGCCTCGTCCAGAAGGCCCTCGAGGCTAAGGAAGCCTCGTCTGCCGACTCCGCCTCCGGAAGTGCCAATGCGGCTGTTGCCGCTGACACCCCGGAGACACCTCAGGCGGGGACTCGGCCCATCATGGGTCCCCCGCCGCCTCCTCCACCTCCGCAGCGGCGGCCACCACCGCTGCTGCCAGAGACGCCTGTGTCGAGGACACAGGCCGCCGCCTCGACATCCCCGTCGGGGCGGCAACAGACCTCCGCGGCTCCAGGGCGCCTCGCCAAGCGGCAGACGCCCCCGAGCTGGTCACCCTCGGAGGGTGACGCCCCCCGGGCGAAAAAGCCCCAGCAGGGCTCGAGCCACGCGCGATCTGCCTCTGCTGAAGGGAGGCTACACCGAGAGGGCTCGGGGCATCCCCGTATCCGTTACGGGGGGAGCGCCTCCTCGGAGTTAGAGGACCTAGTCTAGTCTTTCAGTCTAGTCATTTCCTCTTTTATCCTTTTATCTTTTTCGCGCTATTGCGCTTTTTTACCAGGTGCATTTCTCTCGGTGCTTTTTACCTTTTTTGTGGTCAGTCAGGTATCTGTGTGCGCCTTTGCCTCATGTTATACGCGCCCTTTTTGCGCCTTTTTAACCACGCCTTTTATTCTACAGTGGAAATGTAGAGGCCTCCGGGCCAACTACCAGGACCTACAGTCTCTTATCCGTTGGCGCACACCCCTTGTTTTAGGCCTCCAGGAGACCAAGCTAGCGCCAAACGTTACCTTTGCCATCAAGGGCTACTCTGTTTTTAGAAGAGACCTGGACACCCCTACCATTGCCCATGGAGGTGTGCTTCTGGCGGTTCACCACAGCGTACCTGCGCGCCAGGTCCCGCTGCAGACTCCCCTGCAGGCGGTGGCCGCCAGAGTCGATTTCAACCACCGGGAACTAACTGTATGCTCTTTATACCTTCCACCAGGTATAGCGCTCCCGGTGGTTGAGCTGCATCGACTTTTCGATGACCTTCCACCTCCGGTCCTGGTAGTCGGCGATTTTAATTCCCATAGCCTGGCGTGGGGATGCGACACGACTGGCACTCGTGGTCGACTTTTAGAATCTTTTATCCGCGATGAGGCGCTGTGTATTTTAAATACAGGACA